AACTCGTTTTTCTAGCAGTTTTTTGTGGGTTCCTTAGAATTTTCTGTATACAGAATAATTTTGTTTGTGAGTAAAGATGATTGTATTTCTTTCTTTCCAATCTAAATGCTTTTAATTTCTTTTCTTTTTTTCTTTTTCCTATTGCACTGGTTAAAACCTCCAGTACAATGTTGAATACAAGTGGTGAGAACAGACCTCCTGATCTAAGGAGGAAAGCATTCAAAATTTCACTATTAAGTATGATGCTTTTGTAGGCAGATGCTATAGGAAAGGGAAGGAGGGTGCAAAGATTTGAGAAGTATTTAAGAATTAGAATAAACAGGATTTAGTAACTAATTATATGCAATTTATACCTGGATATAGTTTGTACATTTGTGGGTAAGAAGATTGTGGCTTTATTTTTATGAAGTAGGATGGGATTTAAGATAAATTTATCTCCTTTTGGGAGGATTACCTTTACCTTTCTATAGTAGAGTTTTTTTTCTCTGTTTTTAATTGCCAATTTCAGGTCAGTGTTAATATGCATAAATGCTAAATTTTTGAATGTTTTTTTCTGTAGTTATATTTTAATATGTTCCATGAAGTAGAGAACAATGTTATCACCATGTTTTAGTTGATGAAACTGAGATATATCAAAATGCTGTAGATCACAGCAAAAATATATTTTATAGCTGCTTTGTTCAAATCAAGATCCAGTAATAACTATACATTGCATTTGATTATATCTTAGTCTGTTTTCTCCCCTCTCTTCAACAGACTTTGTCTTTTAGTCTTAAGGCTTTTTTAATGCTAAAACTTAGCCCACTGCCCTTATTTCTTTATTTATCCATCACATTGACCTGTTGTAGAGACTTAACATATAGAATGACCTGCCTTCTAGTTTTGTCTGATTGCTTCCTTGTGGTATTAACTTGTTACACTGTCCTCTGTATTTCCTGCTAACTGGAAGTTGGATGTAAAGGTTTGATTCAATTCAGGTTAAACATTTTTGGCACTAAACTTAGTAGGTGATGTAGTGTTGTTTTTCTTTAATCTATTGTTTTCCTTATTATTATTTTTTTGAGACATGGTCCCGCTCTGTCACCTAGACTGGAGTGCAGTGGTGCGATCATAGCTCACTGTAACCTCCAACTCCTGGACTCAAGCAATCCTCTTGCCTCAGTCTTCCAAGTAGCTGGAACTACCTGCATGTGCCACCATGTGTGGAAAATTTTTAAAGTTTTGTACAGATGGGGTCTTGTTGTGTTGCTCAGGCTGGTCTCGAACTCCTGGCCTCAAGCAGTCCTCCAGCCTCGGCCTCCCAAGGTGCTGGGATTACAGGCATGAGCCAGTGGCCTGGCCTTCTTCTTTTCCCTTCTTTCATTTCCTTTCTTCCTTCGTTTTGTTTCCTTCCTCACTCCCTTCCCTCTTCCCTCCCTTCTTCCCTCCCTCCTTCCTTCCCCCTCTCTCTCTGTCTCTCTCTCTCTTTCTGTTACACAAATTAACCCATTTATTAAAGGATAATGATGTCTGAAAAGGTGGAGATTTTACTGGACTTTGAATTCCTTCAGTGTTCTGATGGACACTGGAAGTGGTGTTGTAGGTCCAGGTACCACCAGCTACTGTTTTCATGCAGGACCCACAGTGCCATATGTCCACAGCTTCCCTCTTCTAATGGTTTTGCCACAGAAGGAGCAAGTGTACTTGCCATGCTGGCTGATGTCAATTTTCTTCACCTTTTCCTAATGGAGGCACCATAGCGGGTCCTATATTTACTGATGATTCGGACCTCCTTGGTGTATTTTAGCCAAGTTGCCAGAAGCTAGGTCCAAGCCCAGAGAAGTTCCTTCTTTATCTTTAATACCAACTATACACAATGGTAGAACTCTGATGCAATCCATCAGTCACCAGTCTCGGACTTGTCACAGTATTGGAATATCAGTGTTCTTATCCCTTTTTTTTTTGCCTTTTTTTGCTGGGATACCCTTTACTTCTTCCCTGATGACTTAAGATATAAGTAATGTCAGTTCTAAGAACTCTTGTTCTTTTATTTGACATATTACATTGCAGCTATTTTTTGTGACTTTATGGCAGTAACTCAATTCAACTCTTTTATAAGGAGAGTTTGGTCTGAACTCTCCTTACTCATCTTTACTCAGACTTTACTTCTGGTCCCATGAAGAATGACTAGAGATGAGAGAGGCAGGCCTAGACTGGGCTTATCATCCTTGCGTCATTCTGGAGATCTATCTAGATAGGGCATCTGAAAGTAGGAGTGGGTTAGAGGAAAGTTAAAAGCAACGTGATTTTCCCTTAGAATACGGGTCCTTTGCTGGTTGTTTCTAGTACCCTATGGTGGATGGCCTGAGCAGATGTTTTCTTTTGTGAAAATTATAATGCTTGTTAACATAGTGAGGTAGAAATGGAGAAGAATTGATAAAGAAATAAATAGGTCAAATATTGAATCATGTTTCCTTGGGAGGGGAAGAAGACATTTTCATATTTATGATTTAGGAACATAAGTTTTTGACTTATTCTTCTTTCCTCTTTGCAGTTAATATTAATAGCTTATTATTATATAGGTAAAAAGACCACTTTCTTGTTTTCCTTTACTCTATCAGCTATTCCTAGGAGTAAGAAAAATTGTTATTGGAAAAAGTAATCTATGATAAAGGATTTTAACTGACATCAGGGCATGTATTTATTTGTCATATTTTTTTCTTGCATACTTTGGATCATGGATGGTTAAGAGATACTATTTTTTATTTGGTAAGATTTTCTCACTACCATTCTATGAAATCTTTTTAGAAGGTCTTAGTATAAATACATCCCTTGTCTGGGTTGCAGATATTTTTGTTGCTATTATAGCTCATTTTGGAAATGGTTCTTGTTGCATTATCACACTTTATTTTCAAATTAATACTGATATTCCTTTTTTTGGAAATTCTGTCATGTAGAATGTAGATATTTATAACATGGAGATTGCAATTTTTATATCTGTTATTAAACAAAAATGCCTCTTTTCAAAATAACCATATTTCATTTAAGTTTCACATTTTAACATCTTCTGAAATAATCAATTAATTGTTGGTGTGATGGTTAATTGTAGGGTTTTTCTTTCTTAGCTATGCATAGAGTAATGCTACTTCTTAACAGTTAATCACATCTTGAATTTGATGAAATACAGTCGTTTATGATTCGGGTTACTCATGCTTTAGCCTCAGAAACACTGAGGTAGTGCTGAGATTGGTAGACTGAGTTGAGTATACTGAGGTAGATAGACAAAGTATTTGTTCTGTGTTTCTCTCTCTTTTTAAAAACATTTTCATATTCTCATCTCAGTTTTGATGAAAGGATCAGGAAATGTAAGGACGTTAAACTAAACATAATAATGAATACTTACATTGTATAGGCTTCATTAAAAGGCCTAATGAAGTCCTAAAAACTGAAGTGAATGTTCCTTTCTTTTCACTTAGAGGCTTTACAGAATTTGCCTTTTACCCTCTCCTCAATCTGTTCTCCTCAAAGATTTCATTCCCTCTCCACCTTTCAACTCTAACCTCTAGTTGTTCTCTTGATACTCTTCTCTTCCTTCCTTGTCTATTCAGAGTTAACAATTTTTTTAAATTAGTAGACTTTTTTGGGGAGCAGTTTTAGGTTTACAGAAAAATGAGTGGAAAGTATGGAGTGTTCCCATACGTACCTCTCCCCCCAGTTTTCCCCTGTTAACATCGTGCATTAGTGTGGTACATTTATTATAATTAATGAGCCAATATTGATGTACATTGTTATTAACTAAAGTCAGTAGATTACATTAAGGTTCACTTTTTGTGTTGTACATTCTGTGGGTTTTGACAAATATATAATGACATGTATCTACCATTATGGTATCATACAGAATAGTTTCATTGCCCTAAACATCCCCTGTGTTCTACTTACTGATTCCTCCTCTTTCCTCCCACCCCTACCCCCAGCCACTGGCAACCACTGGACTTTTACTGTCTTCCATAGTTTTGCCTTTTCCAGAATGTCATATATTTGGAATCATAGAGTATGTAGCTTTTTCAGATTGGCTTCTTTACCTTAGCAATATTCTTTTAAGTTTCCTCTATGTCTTTTCATGGCTTATAGCTCATTTCTTTTTACCACTAAATAATATTTGATTGTGTGGATGAACCTCAGTTATGTTCATCCATTGAAGAACAGCTTGATTGCTTCCAAGTTTTGGAAGTTATGAATAACGAGTTGGCCTCTTAAAACACAAATATGATCTAAAGTACCTCAAATCACCTATAAAAAAAATTGAGCTAATTCACTATCTTTAGCCTTAAAGAATAACTCTTTTGTTTTTGGATAAAAAATTTCTAATTGTGTAGTTGGCTCATAACAATGCTCAATAAATTTGTGTGGAATGGTTGAATATGAAAGAAGGAAGAAGTTATTGAAGAGAAGAAGTAGGGAAAATGATTACATCCCAAATCTGGATAATATTTGGAAAATGGGATTATTTTGAAACTCACCTGGAAATTCTAATGGAGACCAATATGTTCAGGGTTCTCAATTAAACCATTAGCTTGAAAACACTCCAGAGTTTTTTCTTCTTACTTCTTATCATATGTTGATTTGTTTATAAAATATTTTAGAATTAACTTTATATCCTTAAAGTATATATAATGCATTTTAATTTATTTTTCTTTGTGTAGCTTCCAGCTATATCCAAGTTTTTAGACCTTCCAGCTTTATCATAGGCCAAAGTATGTTTCCTAAAGTGCCATATGAAAAAACCATCTCATGTAAGTTAGTTGTCACTGTTGTACTCTACGTGAGCATTATAAAGAAATTCTAATGTAATTATAAGCTAGAAAAGTATTTCCTGAAATATATTATGAATTTATAGCCTTACTGATATACTGAGATTTTGTTGTTCTTTAAATGAATCTTTAATATACTTAGCTTCCCTCCATTTTAAACTAGGTTTTTAAAAAAATATGTATATAATATATTTGCTTTCTTTGTTATAGAACTGTGGCAGCTGAAGTTAGGAAGCAGATCTCTGGACAATATAGTGGTTCTCCCCAACTGCTCAAAAACCTCAACATTGTTGGCAATATATCCCATCACACCACAGTAAGTAGCGTATTTCAAAATATAGTATGTTATTGGTGAATTACTGACTAGGTCATGAAAAAATAGTGGAAAGATAAGAGCTAATAGATTGAGTTCTATCCCTAGTCTCAACTTTACCTGTTGCTACCTCACTCTTGAAATCTGAATTGGTAAAGGGTGTTAGAGGATGTTATAGAAGTGTTGGTTTCCCTTCAAAAAGATAAACAAAAGTGATAAACCACTAGCTAGACTCACCAAGAAGAGAAGAGAGAAGATCCAAGTACACACAATTCAGAAATGAAAAAGGAAACATTATAACTGATACTACAGAAATAAAAAAGGTCATCAGAGACTATTATGAATAACTCTATGCTCACAAACTAGAAACCTAGAGGAAATGGATAAATTCCTGAAAGCATACAACCTCCCGAGATTGAACCAGGAAGAAATAGAACTCCAAAATAGACCAATAATGAGTAGATTGGATCAGTAATAAAAAAATCTCTCAACATATACAAAAGCTCAGGACCAGGATGGATTCACAGCTGAATTCTACCAGACATAAAGAAGAACTGGTGCCAATCCTACTGAACTGTTCCAGAAGATTGAGAAGGACGGTATCCTCCCTAACTCATTCTATGAAGCCAATATCACTCTGATACCAAAGCCAGGAAAGGATGCAGCAAAAAAAGAAAACTACAGACCAGTTATCTCTAATGGACATAGATGCAAAAATCCTCAACAAAATACTAGCATACCAAAACCAACAGCACATCAAAAGGATAATTCACGTGATCAAGTGGATTTTATTCCAGCGATGCAAGGATGCTTCAGCATATGCAAGTCAATAAATATGATTAACCACATAAACTGAATTAAAAACAAATACCATATGATCATCTCAGTAGATGTGAGAAAAGCATTGATAAAAAAAGCATTTGATAAAATCCAACATCCCTTCATGATAAAAATCCTCAAAAAACTTGTCATAGAATGGATGTACCTCAAAATAATAAAAGCCATATATGACAAAACCACAGCCAACTTCATACTGAATGGGAAAAAGTTAAAAGCATTCCCCCTGAGAACTGGAACAAAACAAGGATGCCTACTTTCACCACTTCTGGTCAACTGAAAGTCCTAGCCAGAGTAGTCAAGCAAGAGAAAGAAATAAAGGGTATCCAAATTGGAAAAGAGGAAGTCAAATCATCTCTGTTTGCTGATGATAGGATCTTACACCTAGAAAACTCTAAGGACTCCTTCAAAAGAGGAGATTTAGTAAATGAATTCAGCAAAGTCTCAGGTTATAAAATGAAATGTATAAAAATCAATAGCATTTCTATACACTAAAAAAAGACCAAGCTGAGAACCAGATCAAGAACTCAGTCCTATTTACGATAGCTGCAAAATGAATAAAATACCTAGGAATAAATTTAACCAAGGAGGTGAAAGATGTCTACAAGGAGAACTACAAATGACAAGATTCTTGAAAGAATCAATATTGTTGAAATGACCACGCTGCCCAAAGAAATCTGTAGATTCAGTGCAATTCCTATCAAAATACCTAAGTCATTTTTCACAGAATTAGAAAGAAACAATTCTAAAATTCATATGAAACCAGAAAAGATCCTGAATAGCCAAGCAATACTAAGCAAAAAAAAAAAAAAAAAAAGAAACAAAAACAAAACTGGAGGCATCACATTACCTGACTTCAAATTATACTACATGATTATAGTAACCATAATAACATGGTATTGGCATAAAAGTAGACACATAGATCAATGGAACAGAGTAGAGAACCCAGAAATAAAACCCTATATCTATCTATAACCAACTGATCTTTGCAAAGCAGACAAAAATATTAATATACACTGGGGAAAGGAAACACTGTGCAATAAATGATGCTGGGAAAATTGAGAGCCATATGCAGAAGAATGAAACTAGACCCCTATCTCTCACCATATGAAAAAAGTAACTCAAGTTCGATCAAAGATTTTAAGGCCTGAAACAATAAAAATCCTAGAAGAAAATCTAGGAAAAACTCTTCTGTCTAGGCCTAGGCAAAGAGTTTATTACTAAGACCCCAAAAGCAAATGTAATAAAAACAAAAAAAGACAAATGGGATTGAATTAAACTAAAAAGCTGTGAATAGCAAAAGAAATAATCAAAAGAATAAATAGACAACCTATAGAATGAGAGAACATATTCAGAAACTATGTGTCTGACAAAGGACTAATACCCAGAATCTACAAGGAACTCAGACAACTCAGAAAGAAGAAAACAACCCATTAAAAAGTGGGCAAATGACGTAACAAGCATTTTTCAAAAGAAGATATACGAATGGCCAAAAAACATCAAAAAATGCTCAATGTCACTAATCATCAGGGGAATTCAAATTAACACCACAATGAGATACCATCTTACTCCAGTTAGAGTGGCCATTCTTAAAAAGTTAAAAAAACAGATGGACTTGATAATTTTAAGGAATGAGC